ACTCTCCTTCCACGGTGGTGCTCGCCTGACGTCAGCTCTCTTGCGGCACAAATACTGGATCCTAGGAGGGAACAGGGCTGTAAAAAAGAAATTGCGTTATTGTGTCACATGCCGCCGCCACAAACCTATCATGAATAATCAGTTAATGGGTGACTTACCTGTTTCTCGAACAACACCATCGCGGCCCTTCTATCACACTGGGGTCGACTTAACTGGATTCGTGGATGTAAAATCTAGCAAGGGACGAGGAATCAAAAGTTCGAAAGGCTATATCGTAGTATTTGTATGCATGGTCACCAAGGCTGTGCATCTAGAACTAGTGTCAGACTTAACTTCTTCAGCATTTTTATCAGCTCTTCGTAGAATGGCAGCAAGGCGAGGAGCCCCACGTCATCTGTATAGTGACAATGGGACAAATTTTGTGGGTGCTAGCAGAATACTCAAGCAGGAATGCCTAGATTTGCAGACCACGTTAGACGATGAGTTCTTTACAACTATCACAGAAATGGATATTGAATGGCATTTCAATGCGCCATCATGGCCGAGCGCAGGGGGCCTCTGGGAGGCCGCCGTCAAAAGTTTAAAACATCACATGAAAAGGGTTATTGGGGAACAAAAACTGACATTTGAGGAGTATTCGACATTGTTGGCTCAAGTCGAAGCTTGCTTAAATTCACGACCATTATGTGCTCTAACGGAAGATTGTGAAGATTTAGATTATTTAACCCCTTCTCATTTTCTAGCTAGTGGACCCACGTTAACTATCATAGAGACAGAGAAAGATCAGCGAACAAGATGGCAATTAACACAAAAAATATTTGAAGATATTTGGCGAAGATGGCAAAATGAATATTTGGGTCAACTCTCGGCTCGCAGCAAATGGTGCGAAGCCAAAGACAATGTCAAGATTGATGATATTGTAATAATACATGATGCAAACTTACCATCAGGTAAATGGGCCTTAGGGCGGATTGTAACGCTACACCCTGGAAAAAATGGATATGTGCGTGTCGTTACTCTCAAAACCAAGAACGGTTTAGTAAAGCGGCCCATAAACAAAATATCTCTCCTACCAACTAGTATAGACGACAAACCTTCAAAAAGTAGTAACAAATCGAAGTTAATCATTAGTAGTGCTACATTGACGGAAAATCAGCCTCAAAGAACTAACACTTGTAATCGAAAAAGTTTCTTACTATCAATATTTATATGGTTTATTTTAATAACTGCCACACCTGCTTTAGCTACACATCAGATATCAAGCCTCAATAATAATAAGGGTTTTTATTTTGACAAAATTGGTAACATGCGCTTGGAACAAGATCAGTGGAAATTAATAATTTATTATGATATGACTCCGTATTGGCAAGGCACAGATTTATTAAGTAAATATATAAAACACCTTGACGGTTTATGTTACAATCAAAACAATATAATGATAGCGCAATGTGACGTGATTCTTCTTCAATTACATCACGGGCTCACCGAGCTCGAGCACTACAATGGAATTCTGCTCGGACAGCAACTCACACGGCGCTCCGCGCGCACGCGACTACGCCGAGGTCTTATCAATGGGGTTGGCGCTATTGCTAATTCACTATTCGGCGTACTCGATCAAAACTTCGCAGAACAGTATGAGAGAGATATACTAACAATCAGGGACAATCAGAAACATTTAGCACTGTTGTGGAGAAACCAAACATCAATCGTAGAATCAGAATTTAATTTAATTAAAAGAGTGGAAGTTTCAATAGATAAGCAGCACAAAAGTTTTAATCAGCATCTCAACGCTTTGGAAGTCGAAATCAATGAACAAAAGGTCGCACTTCAAAAAGGAATGAAGGCCAATGATTTTACCTTGTCAGCAGTTATTGCAAAAGGTGTATTATCAACGCTAAAAACTATTCAGGAGACGTTAGTCACTTCTATTACTGACATCTACCTCGGAAAATTCAATTTCCACCTCCTTACCCCTGATCAATTAAGGAGTGAATTAAATATCATAACTGGGCTGTTATCAAAAGATCTTACTCTGCCCTTGAATCATATTCAGTCCGATCTAACTAAGATGTATCACTTATTAACTGTAAAAGCGGGAGCCCTGAAGAATTTTATTATCTTCGAAGTAAACATACCTTTAGTAACTAGAGACAACTATGATATTTATAAGTTAATACCCATCCCACTTAAAGTCAATAACAGTATGATTCAGTTAATACCTATATCAAGTTACGTAACAATCAATATACGAAAGGATTCATTTATACCTATGTTTGAAGAAGATAGACGAGAATGCATTAAGTACGATAAAGATACATACATATGTCCACTAAAACAACCCGTGTATCAGATGAGATCAGATGAAAGTTTGTGCATTAAAAATAAATTATCCGATCAATGTGAGACCACGAATTCAATGTGTCGTAATATCTGGATGAATTTAAATAATATAAATACTTATTTATTTTTTTGTTGTGGTCAATGCACTGTCCGCGTCATATGCGAGACTCAAGTTACAGCCGAACAACTTATCATGGCTGGAATAATAACACTTAGCAACGATTGCATAATCAAAGGCGATAGCTTCACAGTATATCCGCATAAGAAATTTTCAAATACAATTGAGCAAAAGGCCGATATCATAAAATTTGATATTCCACCTATCAATAATATCATGAATATAACTATCCATACGCCTTCCATAGTGACTTCAGGCAATGTCACTAATCCTGATGACCTTGAGGAGATAGATCGGCAGATTCAAGATTTGAAAAACATCGGTTCCGAAGGTGTTCTGGCGGATCGAGTGTCTTATCATGACGTGCACCATTACGTTGCTATTTACGTAGTGGGTCTCGGCAGCGTCATAACTATGGCAGTGGTTATCTTTCGACGCCGCTGGCGCCGCCGGCCAGGGCGGGCGAGGGAAGAGCCCCAGCCCCATGGAGCACAGGCTAGCACCCCCGCTGGCCCCCCTCAAGAAACTGTTGAGTGTGTTAGTGATAGTGTGGTTCAGTGCGCGAATCAGTGTCGTAATGTAAATATTGAAATGAGCAATTTAAAAGTGAATGAAAGTTTAGATAAAAGAGTGAGTGTTAAACCGAGTTTATCCGCTCCGCGCGTTGTTGACTGTGCCTCGTCACCTATTTTTCATAGAGAATTTAGTTCACTGTAATTAATTCTAGAGAACATTGTTTTATCAATTTGTTATTATTTTTAAGAAAATATTGTTTTATCACCTTATAATCGCGTCACTCACTTACATCAAACCATTATCATCTCTCTCCCTGTCTTTGGCCCGGGAGCATGTACGAGCAAGCGCGTACATTTTGCCCCGTCGGCATTTTACGCCACATGCATTTATTTAGGTTAATTATGAATCAGTTCGTCATCGGTCATTATTCGTACCACGCGTTCTCACAGTCATATCATTTTAGTTTCGTAATTATCAGTTTGTTATCAGTAATATATCATTTAAACATATCAAGACTTTCTCTTCTCTCTCTATATCATAAAAGGTGTACAAAACCCGTACAGTGTGAGTTGGGCCGCAAAAGGTAAAAGCTACAGTCATATACAAAAAAAAATCTCTTAATGGAGATACCACGGTTCATACACCTACTAAACTAATTAAAAGGCAAGATGCACCGACCTCGTGTGTTCCTCATTGGCACTGAATACTTAGGGGTAACTACGGTTGATAGAGGTGGTTTCTCCCCCTAAAAAAGTGAATTTCCGCAGTGCTACAAGAAAGCCGACATAATTACGAGTATTTAAAAAAAATATGATTTCATTTGGATTATATTTACTGCCTCGCGCGTAGTTTTGATCGTTTCCGCCCACTGTGAGCCGGTGCAGGTGATGTGGCCGTGGTAGACGCCGTTCTATTGGTATCAATTTCAAGCCAATACACAAATATAATGAATTTATTATTTCCCATCACTGAGACAAAAGCATGTAGGATTAACAACCAAAAGCATGTAGGAATAACAACTTGAAGGTACTTTGGAAAACCTATCCCGAGTGACTTAGATGACCAGGGGCTTATCTGGATCTCGGCTGATGTTTCTCCTAGTTTACAGGGCATTCAACCGCCTGCTTCCCTCCACCCGATCTCACAAATTGCCTGGCTGATGTTTGTGGGCACAGCGCTTAGCGCTTGACCTTGATAATAATTAAATAAAAGAAAGACCAACACGGGCCGCGTTACTGCAATATCAAATCGCAGTCCTCTTACAACAAAGACCTGATATTTAGTTGTCATCATTCTTTCATGAAAGACTGAAGGCTTGGACGGGGTTGCCTTACCAGTGCTTCGATATTCCTTACGAAACATTCCGTTTTCCAAAAGTCTTACATACTTGAAATAAAGAAAATTAGAATATATTTTAGCAAACACTATTTACTCAATAGAACTATACATCTGAGCGTTTTCTAAATATAAATGTTTTTGGACAAACACAAAGAACTGTCAAATGACGCTTCAATTCATAGAGTGGTGTCTGTTTATAACGTCAACAAAAGTGTCATATAAAAGTGCGGGACTCGGAGCTGGCCACACCGTAGCTCGAAATCTGCATTTCGATTCTACGTTGATGCCATTGGTTCGCGGTCCCCAAGTGCCCTCCGCGCCATAATTTTCCTACGCTTTTCATGCGAAACTGAAGCGAGTTTTTAAATTCTTTGTTTGTTTTCTGAACAAATATTAATTTGAAAACTTGATTGAAATATTTAAAATTTAGAAAAGTGGTAGGCGGCAGGCAGCAGCTGCAAAAACCAATGATATTAAAGGGACGGTACTTAATCCTGTAACACCCTGAAACCTACAATGCGCCTTCGCGCCAAAATTCAAACTTGTAGGTTGTCGGAACATCACGTTACAGTTAATATTATTAAATATTTTTACTGAACCCCAGTAAACCAGTTTCTTCCAACTGTATGAATGCTTGATAAGTTGGAGATGCAGACCGGCACCTTTAAACTATTATATTGTTCAACAGTGTTGGGATTTCCGAGCACGATCCGTCTAACCGGATCTCTCGGCGCGATCAGTAATCGCGGCCTGCTGAGTGTTCTGCAGCGCGACCCTGAACACGAGCGGCCGCACAACGTGCCTGGCTTCTACGCCAACAGCGCCGGGCACACCTCACTGTGAGTAAAGTAATCCGGCTAATCCGGCTCGAAGGACCAAACTGTAGGGGTGACCCCCTACCTATTATATATCCGGCTCGAAGGACCAAATTGTAGGAGTGACCCCCTACCTATTATAATATCCGGCTCGAAGGACCAAAATGTGGGGGTTGTTTTCCACATTAAATGATATATGATAGAATATGATATAAAAATGCTAGACATTGATAATTGATAATGTTATTACGGAATGATAAAGAAACAACCGATTGATAGTAATGTTTGTAATACACTGTTCGATACGTGTTGCGCATACATCATCATGAAAAGTAGAACGCTAAATTAACAAAATAAAATATAAAGTAAATTACGAAATGTTTCACCGTACACACGCACTGCGGGGACGAGATGGGCCCGAGCACGAGCGGCCGCACAACGTGCCCGGCTTCTACGCCAACAGCGCCGGGCACACCTCACTGTGAGTACACATACTGCGGGGACGAGACGGGCCCGAGCACGAGCGGCCGCACAACGTGCCCGACTTTTACGCCAACAGCGCCGGGCACACCTCGCTGTGAGTACACACACTGCGGGGACGAGACGGACCCTAGCACGAGCGGCCGCACAACGTGCCCGGCTTCTACGCCAACAGCACCGGGCACACCTCGCTGTGAGTACACACACTGCGAGGACAAGACGGGCCCGAGCACGAGCGGCCGCACAACGTGCCCGGCTTCTACGCCAACAGCCCCGGGCACACCTCACTGTGAGTACACACACTGCGGGGACGAGACGGGCCCGAGCACGAGCGGCCGCACAACGTGCCCGGCTTCTACGCCAACAGCGCCGGGCACACCTCGCTGTGAGTACACACACTGCGGGGACAAGACGGGCCCGAGCACGAGCGGCCGCACAACGTCCCGGCTTTTACGCCAACAGCGCCGGGCACACCTCACTGTGAGTACACATACTGCGGGGACGAGACGGGCCCGAGCACGAGCGGCCGCACAACGTGCCCGACTTTTACGCCAACAGCACCGGGCACACCTCGCTGTGAGTACACACACTGCGAGGACAAGACGGGCCCGAGCACGAGCGGCCGCACAACGTGCCCGACTTTTACGCCAACAGCGCCGGGCACACCTCACTGTGAGTACACACACTGCGGGGACGAGACGGACCCTAGCACGAGCGGCCGCACAACGTGCCCGGCTTCTACGCCAACAGCACCGGGCACACCTCGCTGTGAGTACACACACTGCGAGGACAAGACGGGCCCGAGCACGAGCGGCCGCACAACGTGCCCGGCTTCTACGCCAACAGCGCCGGGCACACCTCACTGTGAGTACACACACTGCGGGGACAAGACGGGCCCGAGCACGAGCGGCCGCACAACGTGCCCGGCTTCTACGCCAACAGCGCCGGGCACACCTCATTGTGAGTACACGCATTGCGGGGAAGAGACGGGCCCGAGCACGAGCGGCCGCAAGTTTATGTTATACGATAATTTTCAATATTAATGTGTAAGTTGCAATTTGGACTCTGTTGCTGTACCATAAATAAATAAATTAATAGACATTATCATACGCAAAATGACACGATTCAGATTTATTACAGTTAACGCACTGGGCTGCCGTTTTTTAACACGTTCGGGCGTTTAACACGTTTGTTCTGTTTCTGTTTAGTTTAACTGACTTTACTTGTTCGCTAGACACCGCACGATCCCGCGGATATCAACGGCGGTGGACGCGTCGGCGCTGGAGGCGTGCTTCAGCCGCGAGCGTGGGCTCGGCGGCGAAGTGCGGCGCTCCTTCCACCGCGCCGAGCGTGTCGCCCTGCCCGCGCTGCCACCGCACGCCGCCGCCGCCGGCCGCAGCGTGCCGCGCAACCTGGACCGCGCCGCAATGGACGCCCGGCCCGCGCTCCCCGCCGCGTATGTACCCGCCAGTGAGGCCGCCCTGCCCGCGCTACCACCGCACGCCGCCGCCGCCGCCGGCCGCAGCGTGCCGCGCAACCTGGACCGCGCCGCAATGGACGCCCGGCCCGCGCTCCCCGCCGCGTATGTACTCGCCAGTGAGGCCGCCCTGCCCGCGCTACCACCGCACGCCGCCGCCGCCGGCCGCAGCGTGCCGCGCAACCTGGACCGCGCCGCAATGGACGCCCGGCCCGCGCTCCCCGCCGCGTATGTACCCGCCAGTGAGGCCGCCCTGCCCGCGCTACCACCGCACGCCGCCGCCGCCGGCCGCAGCGTGCCGCGCAACCTGGACCGCGCCGCAATGGACGCCCGGCCCGCGCTCCCCGCCGCGTATGTACTCGCCAGTGAGGCCGCCCTGCCCGCGCTACCACCGCACGCCGCCGCCGCCGGCCGCAGCGTGCCGCGCAACCTGGACCGCGCCGCAATCGACGCCCGGCACGCGCTCCCCGCCGCGTATGTACCCGCCAGTGAGGCCGCCCTGCCCGCGCTACCACCGCACGCCGCCGCCGCCGGCCGCAGCGTGCCGCGCAACCTGGACCGCGCCGCAATGGACGCCCGGCCCGCGCTCCCCGCCGCGTATGTACTCGCCAGTGAGGCCGCCCTGCCCGCGCTACCACCGCACGCCGCCGCCGCCGGCCGCAGCGTGCCGCGCAACCTGGACCGCGCCGCAATGGACGCCCGGCCCGCGCTCCCCGCCGCGTATGTACTCGCCAGTGAGGCCGCCCTGCCCGCGCTACCACCGCACGCCGCCGCCGCCGGCCGCAGCGTGCCGCGCAACCTGGACCGCGCCGCAATGGACGCCCGGCCCGCGCTCCCCGCCGCGTATGTACCCGCCAGTGAGGCCGCCCTGCCCGCGCTACCACCGCACGCCGCCGCCGCCGGCCGCAGCGTGCCGCGCAACCTGGACCGCGCCGCAATGGACGCCCGGCCCGCGCTCCCCGCCGCGTATGTACTCGCCAGTGAGGCCGCCCTGCCCGCGCTACCACCGCACGCCGCCGCCGCCGGCCGCAGCGTGCCGCGCAACCTGGACCGCGCCGCAATCGACGCCCGGCACGCGCTCCCCGCCGCGTATGTACCCGCCAGTGAGGCCGCCCTGCCCGCGCTACCACCGCACGCCGCCGCCGCCGGCCGCAGCGTGCCGCGCAACCTGGACCGCGCCGCAATGGACGCCCGGCCCGCGCTCCCCGCCGCGTATGTACCCACCTTTTTTTTCCGCAGGCAAAACATCTGTTTACAGACGTTAGCGCCCTTAAGGGGCACATCAATGAACGGACCTCACACCTAGCCTCTCGCAAGTCTCACGGGTGCGAAACGGAGAAGCCGTGTGGCTTATGAGCGCTCACCGCATACTATCCGTTAAAAAAACCCTGCGAATACCCTCGGTATTTTGGGTGATCCCGCAAACGTGCGCTGGACTGCCCACGCTGGGAGCTAAGTGCGCGGCCTATTGCCCACCGCACCGCTCCCTGTCAGCTGCGGAAGGGCTGCCTAGACGTTTCCCTCGCAGGCCCTTCTGCGGCCCTCATGTATGACAGAACTACAAAAGAGGGACGCCGTCACGGAATCCATCGGTGACCGGCATAGCTAACGCCATAACACTGGGCGGGCCGGCCAGGGCGCGCCTTCGCTTTCCCCTACCTGTCCTTCTGCGGCGGGAGGGAGCGGCCAGAGGGTTATCCTCCCGTTCCCTCTCGGCCGCCACCTTCTGCGAGTTGACATCCGGCCGCCTCCCAAGCCGTCTCGCCGCTGAGTATGACCTCGACCATACTTCGCAGCGAGAGGAACCCTCTTGCGATTAGCTCGCGACGCCGTCGTCACCAGGTCGGGCACTCCAACAAGGTACGCTCGGCCGTGTCGGCGGGAGCGTCAGCCTATGTACCATGTACGAAATTTAATACCCTAGATGCAACAACACGAACAAAGTCAGTCACCTTTAAAGCATTGTAATTTAAACGCAATACTCTGCAGTCAGAATTAAAAGGTTTGCGTGATGAAATTGGTGCGTTGAAGGAATCAATAAACTTTATAAGCGATAAGTATGAGGACCTGAAATCAGCTGTGGGCAAACGCGAATTGGACGAGAAGTGCTTATTAGAAGACAACCGTAAAATAGAGTTAAAACTCAAAGATGTTTTCAATCGGCTAACTACATTTGAGCAGTACTCAAGAGGTTCCAATATCGAATTACATGGACTTCCCGAGTTTAAGAAAGAAGATCTGGCTCAGACTTTGCAGCAGATTGGGACAGTAGTAGATCACCCTATAAAAGACGATGAAATTCTTGCCTGTCATCGTGTTGCCAAGATGGATCCAATGAGTAAGCGCCCGAGAACTGTGATAGTGAAGCTTCGTAGTAACCGGTGTAGGGATGCTACAAGGCTCATTAGGATGACAAGATAAATAATAATTTAATCGGCATAGGTGGTGATAAGGTTCCTATCTTTATAGGTGAACATCTGTCACCCGAAAATAAGCTGCTACATGCTGCACTGAGACAAAAGGCCAAGCTCCTTAATTATAAGTTTGTGTGGGTGAGAAACGCCAAGATTTATATTCGTAAAGACGAGAATTCACCGGCCAAAGTAATATTAAACAAGGAGATATTAAATGATTTATCAGCTTAAGCGTATTTGTGTTTATTTTGGAATAGAGTTTGTATAATCTGTCATAAAATTCAAGATTTACTATCAAAATTCCAGGGGCTTAAGAACAAAGATGACTGAATTTTACTTAAATGTTCTGCAGAACCAATATGATGTAGTGGTTATTGCTGAGACATGGTTAACACGTGACATAAGTGACGGTGAACTATTTGATCCTAGATACACCGTATACAGAAGAGATCGTTCATCCTGTCAAAATGCAACAAAATCCAGAGGCGGAGGAATAATGATCGCAGTTAATAAATAGTTTAAATCTTATAGACAGGAGCAGTGGGAATCAAGCAACGAAGATTTATGGGTAATCATAGAGGCTCGGTCCGGAAAAACTTTAAAAAAGATTGGATTCTGTGCAGTATACTTACCTCCACCTCTGAAATTAGAAATAGTCAGTAACTTTTTCTCGGAATGTAGTGATGTCGTGAATTATCTTGACAATGTAGTGATGATTGGAGATTTTAATATGTGCTCCATTTCATGGGCTCAGGTGCCTAGTGCTAATATTTTTTTACCTCGTAACTATAACAATGACTTGGGATATAATTTGGTTGACTTTATGGCTCTTTCTTGTCTGTATCAGTTTAATGGAATTGAAAATTTTGATAAAAAAAATGTTAGATTTAGTGTTATCAGATATATTGGAAACTAAGGTCTTGAATTCAAATAATGTACTAAGTAGGGTCGACACTTATCATCCACCATTAGAAATTGAGCTACCGTACTGCTTAGGAAACAATATGGTACCGAGAGTGCGCTCGGATTTTAACTTCTTTAAGGCCAATTATGAAAAAATTAATACCTATCTAAAAATGTAAATTGGAATAAGACTTTCGAGTCAGGTGATGTTAATGATATGGTACGTATGTGGTACGAAAAGATTGGTGAGGTTGTGGCCAACAATGTTCCAAAATATAAGCCCTCTGGAAGAATTTATCCGCCTTGGTTTGACAAGAGTTTTATTAAACTTTTAGCAGAAAAAGATAAGTTGAGGACTAAATTCCGAAGGTACAAAAATCCTCAGGATCATTATGAGTACACAATTTTGCATGATAGGTGTAGGAAACAAATTAAAATGTTATATAAATCTTACATAAATAAAGTTGAAGATAATATTAGGAAAAATCCCAAACATTTTTGGAAATTTGTTAAAAATAAGCAATCTGGCTCGGGGAACTTGCCATCTAATATGTTCCTTCATGACACTAAAGCCACTAACGGAAGCGAAGTTGTCAACCTATTTGCTGAGAAGTTTAGCTCGGTTTTTGGAGATAAGGCTGACATGGGAAGCTTCTACATTGATGACACTTTTAGCGATGTACCTTTGCATACAATTAAGTTTACAGAGAGACAGGTATTACGTAAATTGATGAGTTTAGACGTGTACAAGGGTTCAGGCCCGGACAAAATTCCACCATTGTTCTTGCGAATGTGTGCTTCATCGCTGGCACTTCCTATTACATTTATATTTAATAAATCATTAAGTGATGGTGTATTTCCTAAAGAATGGACAAAGGCACGTATTGTTCCTATATTGAAAAAGGGGACTCGAGAGGACGTTTCTAACTATAGGCCTGTCTCAATACTGTCAGCCATTTCAAAGGTGTTCGAGTCATTAATAGGTCCTTTAATTGTTGGGCATACTAGACATTTGATTGATGATAGACAACACGGATTCCAGGCAAAGAAATCTGTATCAACTAATTTATTTTCGTATGTGAACACTTTAAGTATGGTATTGGATCATGGTGGTCAGGTAGACTCAATCTATACGGATTTTAGCAGCGCCTTCGACAAGGTTAACCATCGTATTCTACTTTGCAAGTTAGAAAAGACTTATGGAATTGCTGAGCCTCTTTTATCATGGTTTAGGTCGTATCTCTCTGAACGTTGTCAAAGTGTGGTTGCTGGAGGATATGAGTCCCAGTTATACAAGTCAACTTCGGGTGTGCCTCAGGGATCCCATCTTGGACCTATTTTGTTTGTTCTCTTCGTCAATGATGTTATGGGTTGTATTAAGTATAGCCAGTGTTCAATGTTCGCGGATGACATGAAGGTATACAAGGTCGTTAGAGGTGACGATGACTGTCAGCTGTTACAGAGCGATCTTGCCTCTATTCGTGACTGGTGCTATAAAAATAAAATGCATTTAAATATTTCTAAATGTTACCATATCACATTTACGAAAAAAAGACTTCCCTTTGATTCAAGTTATAGTATCGACGGTACTGTAATTACAAAAGTCACAGAGGTAAGGGATCTGGGTGTGTATTTGGATGACAGTTTGACTTTCAGGTGTCATTATGATAATATTGTTAATCGTGCTTATCGTATGTTACGTTTTATTAAACGGACCACCAAAGATTTCCGCAAGGTCGAGTCCAGGGTAGTGATTTACAACGCCCTAGGAAGAAGCATTATTGAATATGCAAGTATCATATGGAACCCATATTATAATATCCACGCTGACAGAATTGAACGAATTAACCGCTCCTTTACCAGATACTTAGCGTTTACTTGCAAGGACATAACTACACGTCACTCGTATGAAGAGAGACTAGGTTTTTTCAATATTTTGAAACTAAAGAATCGCCGCATACTTCACGACTTATGCTTTTTACATAAACTTTTAAATGGTTTAGTTGAGTCAGGGTCCTCGATAGAAAATTTTACGTTCAGACTGTAGGGATTTATTTTATATTCATCGATGTCGAACCAATCTTGGCAAGAGTTCCCCAGCTAATCGCATATGTATAAAATGTAACGAAATTATCAATGTTTATGGCAATAATCTGGACATTTTTTGCAACAGCTTTCACACATTTAAAAAAAAAATAGTAAAGATTTTGGCTCAGTGGTCGGAGTCGTGACGAGTTGACACTTACAATTCACCGATCAAGTGCAAGACGCTGGTGCTGCACGATATATCCTATTAAGTTTAACACGTTATTACTTGTGAGTGTTAACTCGTGCTTGCTAGCCTGACACACTGGTTATGTTTTTTAGTTTATAGGATGTAATGCAAGAGATGGCATTTGTTATAGTAAGTTAATTGGAATTACTGTGTATACCTTTTATTAAAATCATACAAAGTATTTTCAATAATAAGGTTGTAAAAATTATGTAATGTATGTATTTTGTTGGTGTACCATAATAAAATAAAATAAAATAAAATAAAATAAAATTAAACGCATGCGTCAAAGAATTATGACAGTTGGAAATGCATGCTCGTAAAATTTTACGACTTGTTGCTATAGGCGGATGAATATAGACTTTATTTCTTTGATTCTACGCGTAATTCTGAATGCGCAACCTGGACCGACGCACGGGACTCGACGTAGGAACACACTAGCTCTTTCCAAAGAAACTGATGGTGGCGATACGAACATTTTCTTGTTAGTTGTTCGTGCTTGGGGTACAGGGCGCAGAAGAAACACGACTGATCCAAATCAGTATTTTACATTTGATCGTCAATATTTATTTCAATACGTCAATGGATAAAAAATTTATAAGTTCTCTCTCTTCAGGTCCCTGTCTCGCATGTCGGGGCCGGGCGTCAGATCGCGCGCCCCCAGCGAGGAGCAGACCGTTTGTACGGAGCCTTCGCCCCCGCCGCCCGCGCCCGAGCTACCACCGCCCTCGCCCGCCCCCGCGGCCCCGCCACCGGCCACCGCCCCCGCCCCTGCACCCGCACCGACCTCTATACCGACCCCCGCCGGGGCCCCGCCCCCACACAGTACGCTGCCACTCACCATCGATAAGGTGAGCCGATGTTAACAGAACATGTTTACTCGCAAGTGTCTCGCACCTGCCCCTGTACCGGCCACAGCCCTAGCCCCACCCCCACACAGTACGCTGCCACTCACCATCGATAAGGTGAGCCGATTTTAACAGAACATGTTTACTCCCAAGTGGCTCGCACCTGCCCCTGTACCGGCCCCGTCCCCACACAGTACGCTGCCACTCACCATCGATAAGGTGAGCCGATGTTAACAGAACATGTTTACACGCAAGTGTCTCGCACCTGCCCCTGTACCGACCATAGCCACGGCCCCGCCCCCACACAGTACGCTGCCACTCACCATCGATAAGGTGAGCCGATGTTAACAGAACATGTTTACTCGCAAGTGTCTCGCACCTGCCCCTGTACCGGCCATAGCCCTAGCCCCACCCCCACACAGTACGCTGCCACTCACCATCGATAAGGTGAGCCGATTTTAACAGAACATGTTTACTCCCAAGTGTCTCGCACCTGTCCCTGTACCGGCCTCGCCCCCACACAGTACGCTGCCACTCACCATCTATAAGGTAAGCCGATGTTTACAGAACATGTTTACTGCCAAGTGTCTCGCACCTGCCCCTGTACCGACCACAGCCACGGCCCCGCCCCCACACAGTACGCTGCCACTCACCATCGATAGGGTGAGCCGATGTTTACAGAACATGTTTACTCCCAAGTGTCTCGCACCTGCCCCTGTACCGGCCACAGCCCGGGCACCGCCCCCACACAGTATGCTTCCACTCACCATCGATAAAGTGAGCCGATGTTAACAGAACATGTTTACTCCCAAGTGTCTCGCATATGCCTTTGTACCGGCCCCCGCCACGGCCCCGCCCCCACACAGTACGCTGTCACTCACCATCTATAAGGTGAGCCGATGTTAACAGAACATGTTTACTCTCAAGTGTCTCGCACCTGCCCCTGTACCGACTACAGCCTCGGCCCCGCCCCCACACGGTACGCTGCCACTGACCATCGATAAGGTGAGCCGATGTTAACAGAACATGTTTACTCCCAAGTGTCTCGCGCCTGCCTCTGTACCGGCCCCCGCCACGGCCCCTCCCCCACACAGTACGCTGCCACTCACCATCTATAAGGTGAGCCGATGTTAACAGAACATGTTTACTCCCAAGTGTCTCGCACCTGCCCCTGTACCGGCCACAGCCCCGGCCCTGCTCCCACACGGTACGCTGCCACTGACCATCTATAAGGTAAGCCGATGTTTACAGAACATGTTTACTCCCAAGTGTCTCGCACCTGCCCCTATACCGACCACAGCCACGGCCCCGCCCCCACACAGTACGCTGCCACTCACCATCGATAGGGTGAGCCGATGTTTACAGAACATGTTTACTCCCAAGTGTCTCGCACCTGCCCCTGTACCGGCCACAGCCCGGGCACCGCCCCCACACAGTATGCTTCCACTCACCATCGATAAAGTGAGCCGATGTTAACAGAACATGTTTACTCCCAAGTGTCTCGCATATGCCTCTGTACCGGCCCCCGCCACGGCCCCGCCCCCACACAGTACGCTGCCACTCACCATCTATAAGGTGAGCCGATGTTAACAGAACATGTTTACTCCCAAGTGTCTCGCACCTGCCCCTGTACCGGCCACAGCCCCGGCCCCGCCCCCACACAGTACGCTGCCACTCACCATCGATAAGTGAGCCGATGTTAACAGAACACGTTTATTCCCAAGTGTCTCGCATGTCGGGGTGCAGATCGGCTTAAGGTGGGCCTATACTTACGGTCAGTTAGTTAGGAAGAGAAGCTCGATGGCGCAGGTGGCTACCTTGTTTGGCCTGCGATCGTGGCCGGTCATTGGATCGGTGACCAAAAACTTATTATCTCAAGCTCCGTTAAGCCGTTCGCCCCGGCTGCAACTGTCAATCCGCATTGGGCCCGCGTGGTGGTACAAAGCCCAATCTCCTTAGGCCGTCAATAGGGAAAGCCTGTGCCCCAGCAGCTGGAAGGTTAACAGGCTAATGATGATGATGATTTTATTAGTAATGTTTTTTCAGCCATCGTGTGTATGCAGTTACGAGCAGGCAAACGTTGCGGGCAGCGAGGAGCCCGATGATTACCGCAGTGAATGCGAAAACTGCAAGTCCGCCAGCAGTTCTAGGTGAGATGCATTCTAATGTTTCTTGGAGTGTTTGGCACAAAATGTATCGAGTCAGCTTTCTCGATAAGCTTCTGTGAGGTAGTCAACACTACAATAAAGTTCTCACATCCACTTGACGATATAGAGAACATTTTAAAGATGGTGTTGATTCTTCTGTTGCGCAGACGTTTGTAACACCAATTTTGTTTCACAATATCCACTATGTGCGAATTTAAAGAATAATTAAAATATGACGCCAACCGCACTCGATGAAATCCCGCCAAAAACTCGCGGTATGTGTTACGAGAGTAACAAGTGACAACCACAGATCACGGAGAGTGTGATTCCGTATTCTCTCGCACCTTATGCTGGTGCTTCACGTGGCTAATCGTGTTTGCTAAGTGTATATCACGTTCTACTACGGGGAGTGAGAGAGATGTTCAGTATAGTTCAGCATGTGCGGGGGATGTAAGCGTGTTTCGGAACCGTTGCTCAGAGACATTGGCGCAGAGTATGTCGTAATCAAAATCAAAAATCCTTTATTTAGTCTAAGCTGTTACAAGCACTTTTGGAGGCCAAGAAGCGCCATCGGTTCACAAAACTACGGCGGGAGACCTTGCACTGAGAAGAACCGGAAAGAAACTCAGCAAGGGCTGTTTTTTTCTCCCTGTATTCTGTTATTTACAGAGTCGTCAAGTTGAAAAATTACTTCAGAGATACTTCTGAAGTCACCTTCCATTACATCGTTTAGGATATAGATATATAGTTACAATAAATTTTATAACTAATATAATATCCTGAGTATATTGAGCAACACAAATATTGTCTGTTTCTTATTACTTGTAAGCACCCAAAACAAGTTTTAGAGGCCATAATAACAGATATAGAAAAAAGAAAATGTAGATATATAAAAATCAACTTTAAAACACTAAAAAAATATGGTTTGTAACTAGTCTGAAAAAAAAAACTAAAAATATTTTGTCGACTGAGGTTTAAACCGTGGATCGTTGAGTCGTGATCACAGGGTCGCAAACCACTGAGCTGTGTACGCTCAAGTTAAAGCATGGAAAATACGAATCTGTTACACGAAGCGATTTCCAGATCTACTCCAGCAGCTGATTCATTAATGTACAAGTAGATGATTCAGGGCTAACGACCGCAACTATTAGAAAAATTTAACCTCACCTATTTTATTAAAAAATACTTGTATACTTATAATCACTGTACCGCTGTTAATGTTTTATACACCAAACTTAGGAGAGTTACACGTCGAATAAATTGATATGTATATCGCAGGTGGTGGTGTTTTATTACTATAATTTATAAACTTAAAATACGGAGCGCAGATTAACACGTTATAGCAGAACAACCGCGTTCCGCGCACATCCAAGAAGACATTTCCTCTGAAGAAGAAATAATAAAGATATTTAGCGATTAGTTGAGGAAATTAGGGGAGAAGGAGGCACCTTAGCACAGGGGCAGATTTGAACATGTTGATTTCTGAACGTAACATTATGTTAATTTATGCCGTAACTACATTTTAATATTGGCAGCACTGGCTGTGACAAACACCAAGTAACAAAGCGCGCGCGTTTCGTTGTCAAAAAGATTTATAAGCTGTCGTCGTATTTGTACCAATGAAGTAAAAAATAAAAATAAATTTTGAAAGGGATTTAGTATCACGTGAGTAAAGGTTTCCAACTATTTTTTTCAATAAATTGTGCAGTACTTATTAGTTTTCAACCCACCTTGTTGTTTTTGCTTGCCAGTTATTTCACATTTTTTTTTGTAATATTTTATTTTCCAAGTGACCGTGGGGCAGATTTAACAAAGCAAACGGGGCAGATTTGAACGGGACATTCATATACAAACTTCATATGTTTTCTTACAAAGGAGAATGCCCATTGGTAGTATCGTCCTTGGTCGGCCTTGTACATTCACCTAATTTATATCAAAAATCAAGTTTTTAATTTTCACAAAACCATGTTAAATAATTTGCTTTTCATCCCACCACCTCGGAAAGTGTAATTTTGCGCTTCGAAATCTGGCTGGAAAATTCTATTTTATTCGCTTGAGCGGCAAAGTAGATTTGAATTTAGAACATCACATATAATGAGTACTCAATATAATTGTAAATTCAAAACGTCATTAAACCTATTTAATGTAACCTCTATGGTGCCAAATTTATGATTAGAACTTTTTAAATTGTGAAAAAATTTAAATTTGGAACCTTCTTGGTTTCTTTGTTTTATTTGCGTGCTTCGCGCCATTCTAGTTTTTCACGTTTTATTGCTTAAATATTTTGTCATTATAAATTGTTTTCTTTTTCATTTTGTCATTTCCTCGCTGAGGTGGGATGAAAAGTTACGTATTGCACTCGAGTGGAAAGATTTTTCACCTTGTGCTCGTTTGTTTCCCTCGCTGACGCTCAGGATTCTAATTTAGAATCACTCGCTGCGCTCGTGATTCAACTTTAGAATCCTTCGCTTGCTCGGTCATCCAAATCGAGCACGCGGTTAAAAAGGAACTTTCCACTCTTGTATAATAAATAACTATTAACTTCGCCGAACAAAAATTTCTATAAAAAAATAGTAATTCATTCACTTCCATTTCATTTGTATTTTTGACACACTTGTCTTCTCAGTGTTGCCATTTTGTAATAACCGTATCGATTTATCAAAATATAATCGATGCACTTGTAGTTATTTCATCAAAATAACGAGTTAGATTATGCATACAATTCAATATGCTAAAGAAAACATATTATATTGCATTACATTTGTCGCAATAAAAGTAGTCTGATCTGTATATTAAGATTATTACTTAAGTATAGATTATAGACTCGAAAGTCCATAATACACGTTTAGATCGACTGCTAACAGTTTATTTACCGGATAATTGTCCATATTATCGAGGGGTAGTCAGAAAAAAAGTATCGCAACGGCTCGGTGTCTGTTAAAAAACCCCATTTTTTAGGGTCGTACATGACACATATACAGCCCTAAACGTAAATGCTGCATCACATGCATTTATGTCTACGTGCATGACCGACGATAATCCATACGAGTAATTCATAACTTGCATGCTGATAATAAAAGGAACTCCATGGGGACTTCTCATTCATCTGCCTGTACCTAGCCTGAACGCTGTTTGTTTTGATATCAATAAAATAAATTCTTTTTTGCTTTACTAAGTATCTCATGACGCAATACCGTCCACAGATTTAACACAAATAATGTATCAGATATACTATGTTATATTTTGCACGTATAGCGCTATACATGTGCTATACGTGCAAAATATAACATTTATGCTTCTACTATGATCATAAATCTATGACAGTGTAATAAATAATTAAGCGGGATTAAACTATTGTACCAGTAGTGATAAATCGGGAAAGAGGAATATCGATTCATTCATATTTTTTTAGAAACTGGTAATAATATTTCCAGCGGTGTCTGTCAAATTGTTTTTTTTTCACTGACGGTTCTAATTTCGAGCAGATTATTTGGTAAATATTTCAGTGTTTATAATTATTTTCATCTATTTCCTTTAAGCTGAGTTGATTTTTGATTTGATTCAACCATTTTAAAGATAGATAACTTGAAAAAGGGAAGGCAAGAATTATTAATATAATGACATTTGTTATATCGTTATTCGTATTACCCGTCGAGCTAGAGAAAAAATATATTTAATTATTGAATCTACACATAGGACCCTACAAAATAAGGTAAAAACCGTCATTGTACAAAATTTTTCGTAGCGATACTACAGTCCATACTACGATGGGCATTCTCCTTTGATATTAAGTTTATTTTATGTTTAATTTTGCGTCTGAGGCAGTATTATATAATAATAATAACAATAAAAAAAAAAAAACCGCTGACACTGTCAGACCCATTTTTATTCCGTATATTTTATTTTTCAGATTTTGATACATTTAAGTAATTTAAAACAATTCCCAGAAATTTCCCAAAAAATTGACAACGAGAACATAATAAATGCGATTAAAAAAGAAGATTTAAACACTGAAACCCTAACCCAAACACCAATGACGTCTGTCAAGTCAAAAATCTATGAAAATGTGAAAATGTATATAGAAACTGAAAAATAAATGTGATGAATTTGAGGCCGAGACAACGAAGAGCGGATCCATACGCACGCCCATCATCCCCGCCTGCGCCGTCGTCCAGCTCCTCACCAGATTCGTCGGGCTATGACTTTGCGACTGCACCCGACACCAGTGAGTCGAGCGACGACGGGCGCCACCACGAGGTCGGCCACCGCTACCGGCACGCTTGGGGCCTGCGGAACCTTCTGCTCCGCGTTTGGCTCCCGCTACCGGTGGTGTAGTGCGTCGCATGAGATGGTCTTATACAAATAATGAGAACTGCATGCGCGCCTATTATGGTGCTACAGAGGGAGAAACTAACATGACTGCGTACCGTGTTAGGATGCTTGCTTTGTTTCAGGCCCTTGAACCAGCCATCACTGTTTCTGCACAACGACTATCGGATCAGGTACGGGTTATTCAACGTAACAAGCGGTTGGACGACTCTGTACTTGAGCGGCTTCGTCTGGAGGCGCTACCTGAGCGCACTGTTCCCGTCGTGACATGTGGTCAGTCTTCTAAACCTCGGGTTTTATCAACATCTGTTGTAACACCGGAGGTGACGCGGATTGACCCTGTTATCAATGACGGAGACAGTGCGAACATTAGTGTAAGTACCCAGACCCAGGAGCAATTGAGGAGGGCTTTGGAAGAGGCGATTGACCGGTATCGGTATACACCGGACTCAAGGCCACGTTTACCACGCCTGCCTACGAATAAACGCAATATAGCGCTAATGATAGCCCTGGACAATTTACTAGTCTCATATTTCGAGACTAGTGAAAACCTTGTTGATACGCATTCAATCCTGTACTGCGGGGCCATCGCGGCGTGCCGTGTTGCCAGAGTTAGGTTCCCAGATCCTGACTGTGCAACTAGACCCGCTGTTGATGTCCCTACATGGCGAGTGCGGATTGAACAGCGTATCAGCAGGTTCAGAACTATCATTGCAAAGCTATTCTGTTTCAGGAACGGGAATAATCGCCCGCGAGTCATGCGTTTCGTGAACCAGGCATTCGCGGGTACTGGCATCAGACCGTGCGATTATTTGGCCTGTGTCACGGAACGCATTGACTTCCTGAAACAGAAGGTTTATGCGTGGGCGGGACGTATTCGGCGCTATAGAGAAAGGGTAGACCGATTCCGAATAAATCGTCTCTTTCAAAGTGACCAAAGGAAGGTGTACCGAAAATGGGAGGGAATCAATCAAAGTGTGACTAACGAGCCACTGCCAGATACTGCTGCTATTACCAACTTCTGGCGTAGTATCTGGTCAGTGCCTGTTGAGCCCACCGAGAGTGATTGGATTGATGTTGTTGAGCGCGAGTGTGAGTCAATAGAACCGATGGAGGCTGTAAACATAAGCCCTGAAAATGTAAGTTGTGCAATCCGTACGGCCCATAACTGGAAAAGTCCTGGGCCGGACGGACTGCACAACTTCTGGATAAAATGGTTTCGAAGCTCATACGAGCGCTTAGCAATGCAATTCCAATACGCTCTCGAGAGTGGTTCCCTGCCAATTTTCCTAACAACAGGTATCACCTTCCTTCTCTATAAATCTGGTAGTACCACGGAAGCAAAAAATTATAGACCCATAACTTGCTTGCCAACATTATACAAGCTCCTTACATCCATTTTGAGAGCAGAAATTAATAAGCATATTAATGCTAATAACATAATGTCAGCGTCTCAAAATGGATGTACGGTTGGGTCCCGTGGTACTAAAGAACTCCTCCTCATTGACATGACCATTTGCCAACATATCCGGCGGAGCAAGGGAGCCCTTTCTGCGGCCTGGATTGACTATAAAAAGGCCTATGATTCGGTGCCTCACTCATGGCTGGGAAGGATCCTAGAGTTATATAAAATCGATGTAACTTTAAGATCCTTTTTGGGTACATGTATGAGACAGTGGACCACAGTCCTTCGTCAGCCAGACCGTAGAGATGACCCCTCGGATCCGTCGGATGGTATAAGGATAGAGCGAGGCATCTTCCAGGGTGACAGTCTGAGCCCGTTGTGGTTTTGCTTGGCCCTAAATCCTCTTAGCACTTTGCTAAGGGAAACAGGGTTAGGCTGTCGTCTCCGGAGAGGTGGGGAGGTCATTTCTCACTTACTTTACATGGATGACCTAAAATTATTTGCACCAAAACAACCAGACTTGATTAAACTACTGAACATTACAGAAGTTTTCAGTAGTTCTATCGGAATGGAGTTTGGTGTCGATAAGTGCGCGGTCATGCATGTAAAGCGAGGGAAGGTGGTAAATTCCACAAATTTACAACTTTCTGAGACAATCACTCTTAAATCTCTCTCGGAGACGGAAACCTACAAGTATCTTGGTATGTCACAGTCTTTGGGTATTACGGATGGGGACGTAAAGCAGGCATTGAAGGAGCGTTTCTTTTGGAGACTGACAAAAGTACTGAATTGTCTTTTGTCAGGAGCCAATAAGGTGCGCGCCTTCAATGCCTGGGTGATGCCCCTATTCACATACTCCTTTGGCATACTGAGATGGATTCAGACTGAGTTAGACACTCTGGATAGGAAGGTCCGTCAACTGCTCACAATGCACCGTATGCTTCATCCGCGCTCATCTGTTATGAGACTGTATATCCCACGTAAGTGTGGAGGTCGTGGTTTATTAAATGCCAAGAATCTCCACAACCGAGAGGTGTGCAGTCTCAGGGATTACTTCCTTAACAGTGAGGGTGGGTTGCATCGTGACATTGTAGCAGTTGACAAAAACCTCCTCCTTGGCCAAAGAGAACTGGCGCAAGCCGAGGGTGCTAAGCACCCAGGATCGCAAGGAAGTATGGAAAAGCAAGGAGCTCCACGGACGGTTCTATCGGGCCCTAACAGGGCCTGATGTGGACCAGCTCGCCTCCGTGAACTGGCTACGATTCGGTGATCTCTTTGGGGAAACCGAAGGGTTTGTCTGTGCAATTGCTGACGAAGTCATGATGACGAACAACTATCGGAGATATATCCTGAGGGACGGAACGGCCGACATTTGTAGAGCATGTCGTCGGCCTGGTGAATCCCTCAGACATATCGTCTCCGGTTGTTCTCATCTGGCCAACGGTGAGTATTTGCACAGACATAATCTCGTAGCCAGAATTATTCACCAGCAACTTGCTGTTCAATACAACCTTGTAGAATCCGAGGTGCCGTACTATAAGTACACACCGGCGCCAGTTCTTGAAAATGGTCATGCAACGCTCTATTGGGATCGACCTGTCATTACGGACAGGACTATTATTGCCAATAGGCCTGATATCGTATTGACAGATCGATTGAAACGCCAGACAGTGCTCATCGATATCACCATCCCGCATGACGAGAACCTCGTGAAGGCCGAGAAGGACAAGCTCAGCAAGTACCTGGACTTGGCCCACGAGGTAACCGCTTTGTGGGATGTGGATTCGACGATCATTGTCCCTATAGTCGTTAGCGTAAACGGTCTCATAGCGAAGAGTCTCGATCAACATCTAAAGAGCCTCTCGCTAGATGGTTGGGTCAAGGGGCAGATAGATGCAAAAGGCAGTACTCCTGGACACGGCGCGCATCGTCAGGCGGTTTCTTTCTCTACGGCCCTAACCACCGGTAGCTTGGGCCTCGCTCCGCTGCTGGTGGCCTTCTAGGTTAGGTTTTTTATACTATATTTATTTTTGTATTTACGTTTTTGTATTTTACTTTTATATCTATTTTATAAAAAACCTAACTTGTGAAATGAAATAAATGAGAGTATAATAACAATAAACTAAAACTCTTGTGCAATATGATTATTTTTGTTAACAAGGAGGAAGTCTAACACAATGAAAATACTATTATTATTTTTGTTACTGTAATGCAGGATGTAACTTTAGAAGTGTCGTATAATTTTATTTTATATTTTATTACAATTAATATCAATATAATAAAGACAAATTATTACTCTATCCTCTCTTTTTACTGGTTTTTAACCCATTGTTCAAAACTGCCCCATGTCTATACAAATGTGCCCCAAAATTTGTGTTTAAAAAAACACATTATTTCTCTTTAACGTTTTCAGCAAATTCAATCATTTCATCATTTTTATATTAACAAAGGAGTAAGTAAGCTAAGAAAACTATTTTTTTCCAATTTCTCTTTACGGTTGATTTTTATGAGTCCAAATACGAAACATGTGCTAATGTGCCTCCCTCTCCCTTACTTTTATTTGAGAAAGCATCATATATATATATATATACAAAATTTAACATTAATTAATTGACGATAAATTGGGTAGCTACATAATAACGTTAAAAGTGATGTGCGAGCGGGAGAGGTAGGTTTGCGCCTTTTGCTCGCACCCGGCGCGAGAAATGCGGCGCGCGGGGATGCATGCGCGTCGCTCAACAAAACCGCCATCCGACGCAGCGCTCGCCCATACAAGTGATCTACGCAGTAAGTGATCTATTGTGCATGACCGGAATCCACGTTGAAGCTTGGAGAGGAAGGAAGACTCCCGCGCAGTGCCATCGCTGCCAGGGGTGCCGCTACTCCAGCCACGGCTGACACCGACCGATTGCCTATTAAAATCATTATTTCCGGGACGGTATTTCGTCATTTGAATAAACGAATTAACTTCTGTGTTGTGTCCTTATGTGCTGCTACAGATATTACAGCTTTATTATGGATTTTGATGAATTATATTCTCGAATATTGCATACAAATAATTTGCGTAAATTTCCAGTCTAAATACATCCATGAAAAGCTCCATATTAGATAAAAACCAAAAAAGATTTTTTGTTTTCATTATTTTTTCAGAAGAATGCGCACATTTGACCTAAGCGTGGAGTATGTCAAAAAATCCAAAATAAATAATATAGTAATACTAAGAGGATATTAGGCGCAAATGTGTGAAAATGGAGATATCATCATTTACTATGCCGACTCCATACAATGTTTTCCGAAAAAAGTTTTACTTACTATTTACAATTTATAAACTTAAAAGTTAAAAACTTTAAATATCAAGCATAAACTAGGTATTCTCAATCGTTTCCAAGCAAAAAAGGCGGAACTTATAAAAAAATATTTGAATGTCTATGAAACGCAATTTTCAGCCCACTGTGCGGCTTTCGGATAGATGGTGACTGTTGAATTGTTTGAGTAAATATAAAATATAAATTAATAGATACATTTAAGCCTCAATAACAAATCTTTAAGATCTGTGTTTGGTAAGGTAATTCCACGTAATAACATAAATCTGAATGGTAAACATGAAATGAAACATTTCAGATGGGTATATTTGTACATTCAAAAGAATTAAATTTGTTTAATAACGTTGCTGCCGATTCTGGCATTATTCTCTAAACTTGAAACTAAATTTTACATAAGTCTCTCCCTTTCATTCTGGTTAGAGAATGACGAGGATATGCTGCTGTAAATTTTAAGTTAAGGTTAAGAGAATCATGCCAGATTCGACACCATTACGACCCATAGATAGGAAAACTTAGTTGGGGATTCCTAATAAAAAATATTTCTGCTAATATTTTTGTTTTTTTTTTTATTAAGATGGGTGTTAGAAGAGGGTTGGGAGGAGGAAGCGGCGGACGGTACGCAGACCCTGCAGCGACGCCCTGTCGGCTCGGCCCTCGCTGCCCCGCCCGCCGCTAGCACGCTGCCGCAGCCCGTCACCAAGCAGAGGTCAGTACACAGGCGGCACACGCTGCAGCGACGCCCTGTCGCCGCACTCCTCGCCACCCCGCCCGCCGCCAGCACGCTGCCGCAGCCCGTCACCAAGCAGAGGTCAGTACACAGGCGGCACACGCTGCAGCGACGCCCTGTCGCCGCACCCCTCGCCACCCCGCCCGCCGCCAGCACGCTGCCGCAGCCCGTCACCAAGCAGAGGTCAGTACACAGGCGGCACACGCTGCAGCGACGCCCTGTCGCCGCACCCCTCGCCACCCCGCCCGCCGCCAGCACGCTGCCGCAGCCCGTCACCAAGCAGAGGTCAGTACACAGGCGGCACACGCTGCAGCGACGCCCTGTCGCCGCACTCCTCGCCACCCCGCCCGCCGCCAGCACGCTGCCGCAGCCCGTCACCAAGCAGAGGTCAGTACACAGGCGGCACACGCTGCAGCGACGCCCTGTCGCCGCACCCCTCGCCACCCCGCCCGCCGCCAGCACGCTGCCGCAGCCCGTCACCAAGCAGAGGTCAGTACACAGGCGGCACACGCTGCAGCGACGCCCTGTCGCCGCACCCCTCGCCACCCCGCCCGCCGCCAGCACGCTGCCGCAGCCCGTCACCAAGCAGAGGTCAGTACACAGGCGGCACACGCTGCAGCGACGCCCTGTCGCCGCACCCCTCGCCACCCCGCCCGCCGCCAGCACGCTGCCGCAGCCCGTCACCAAGCAGAGGTCAGTACACAGGCGGCACACGCTGCAGCGACGCCCTGTCGCCGCACCCCTCGCCACCCCGCCCGCCGCCAGCACGCTGCCGCAGCCCGTCACCAAGCAGAGGTCAGTACACAGGCGGCACACGCTGCAGCGACGCCCTGTCGCCGCACCCCTCGCCACCCCGCCCGCCGCCAGCACGCTGCCGTAGCCCGTCACCAAGCAGAGGTCAGTACACAGGCGGCACACGCTGCAGCGACGCCCTGTCGCCGCACCCCTCGCCACCCCGCCCGCCGCCAGCACGCTGCCGTAGCCCGTCACCAAGCAGAGGTCAGTACACAGGTGGCACACGCTGCAGCGACGCCCTGTCGCCGCACCCCTCGCCACCCCGCCCGCCGCCAGCACGCTGCCGCAGCCCGTCACCAAGCAGAGGTCAGTACACAGGCGGCACACGCTGCAGCGACGCCCTGTCGCCGCACCCCTCGCCACCCCGCCTGCCGCCAGCACGCTGCCGCAGCCCGTCACCAAGCAGAGGTCAGTACACAGGCGGCACACGCTGCAGCGACGCCCTGTCGCCGCGTTCCTCACCGCCATACAAATTTGATTTGTCCTTTACATGCCTCTCGATGCCTGAACTTAACTAAAAAGTGGCCACGCATGCAAAGATCATTAAGATAAAAATGTGTGAAATATGAATGTTTTATTTGTATTGCTGTATAACACAAAAGCTCTAATAAATTAATAATGTTAAGTTCAGTTAAGTTGTACAATACTACAGTAATAATTGCGCCTTTTAGGATTTAAATAAACAATGGTGTCGCTTCTGGCATGATTCTCTAAACCTAAATTTTAATTTGACAACAGTGCATCCTTGTAATTCTCTCAACAAAATGCAAAAAGAGACTGATGTTAAATTTAGAGAATCATGTCAGAATCGACACAATTCGGCAGGATTCTCTAAACCTAAACTTAAATTTGACAACAATGTAGCCTTGTCATTATAGACTGAAAAGGATAGGCTGATGTTAAATTTGTTTTAAGTACTAAACCTAAAATGAAATTTGACAATATTTTGCATTCAATTGCGGCACGTTAGTAACTATACGGAAGCGAGGATCAAAGATTTTTTTTTCACAACATAAATCATAACTCATTGTAATATTTCTTTCCTTCCAGCCGTACAGTGATGGGTCCTCCGTCGAATTGGGAGAATTGGTTCAACACCATACCCGATTCGGATACGGACTCTGAAGAAGAATAATCCATGAAAAATTTTGGAGGGACTTTCACAGCACCAAAAGCAGCTTGCCGTAATCTATGGGTACCGGTATAAACCACGGACTTAAGTCATGATATGCATGACATTCTAGTAGTTTACATATTTGGCAACCTCAAAAATATTGCTGTTTTTCTTCCAGTTGCACAGTTTTTTGTTCATATCACTCGAATGATATTCGATTATTCCAATTGCATTATAGGCAATCTGAGTTGGAATATTCTTCATTTATTAATAATGACATTATAATTTAAGGATTAATTATACGCACCGCTTTTAAATATGTACCTCCAAACGAAACCCTTTAGCTAATCGTTATCCATGGCAAGAGTGATTAAATTTAATATCCTGTTTTGCCTCTTGCCAAGGCCGTCAATTGGGATTGGAATTACCTAGTAAATTAATTCGACTTTCGACGTGCAGGATGCAGAAATGTTTGGTTTTAGCCAAACTGGTCAAGTGAGTGGACATTGGTTAATTTATATTGTATTTATTTGTGTGTATCATATGACTTTTTTCCCAGATATAAAGTTGAAATTGTTTTTACATAATGCCAAAGAATATGAATGAAAAATTTTATTTTTATTGTTCTGTTATTTTATTTGCTCGTTATATATCTTTTTAAAAGATAATGTTACATATATATATATATTTTATTTTGGTTTGTATGAAATACATATAAAATAGTTTTAAGTGAGTAGCTAGATATAGTTAGATATTCTAACAGATTCTATGATAGTGTATAAAGTATGTAATTTTAAAAGAAGATATTTGGTGTTAAGAATATCCTGTTCAAAGTAAATCATACTCCTTTTAGTGATAAATTGGGAAGTTGACTTTGTTAGAAAATAATCCTAGAATTTAATGGTGCCAAAATCAAGAATAATACAAGGAAATGAGAAAAATTAAATTTGGACTCGGAAATATGTAGTTAGGTAGGTAGAAGTTATTTATAATTGTACCTACTTATTTTGCTATTGATATAAATACTACAGAATTTTAAGTAGCCAAACCGCAATATTTTTGGAGAATATTATTTTCTATGTATTTTTGTTTATCAATTATATATTTTTGCCATTAACCATACATAATTTTTATCTTTGAACTATTATAAAATTTTATTTTTTGTATTCTAAGATGACACTTATAAAATGTAAACAAAAGATTCGCGAGGCCTAATCTGAGCTTTACATTTGTGTGATTGCATGCACATAGATAGGTGTGACGTCACGCACCTTAAAAGTATGGACTTCACTCTTGTACTGGTAACAGCGTGACATGTTTATTTCTTAATTTATCAATCATACATATCGCAACTGGCCTTTATTTTAACAATATATATTATTTAGTCTTATTTATGTATATTTTTAAATAGAATACCTCTCCCACTTACATAAGTCTTCAGTTGTTGCGACAAGGTAGGTACATACCTACATAAAACAAAATTTTATATTTACAAGTTTTATTTCCTGATATATTGTTTTAAACTCTCTTATTATATTGTCTTATATTGTTTAATGGAGACTCAATGATAACGATCCCGTTATTAACTATAATTTTTTGTCTGACTCTACTTTTGGTGATCAAACTCACACAAATGCAAAGTTCAACTTAGGTCTCACAAACTGTACCTGCGTACACATTAAATGTAATCAGTGTTTTAGGTCCTTTGTGCTACAGTTAGGGTTGCCAGGTGTCTTGTTTCTAACAAATTCTTCAACAAGTCTGCTTCGTGTTCAGCCTGATAAAAGTGTGTGGCAGAAGTAACATTCTGCAATTTTGTCAATTTGTTCTGGCAATCCTAGTTTTAGTATATAAATATTTTTAAGAGGTGTTTCTGGTTCAGATGTACGATGTCTTGTTTTGTTTCGGGTACTGTAAATGTCTCGTTTAGACATTTCAACCTGAAAGAATCATGATGGTGATAGTCTGAATTTTCAGGGTTAACAAAGTATTATAATAATGATTATATGTATTTAAAGCTATACTTTATTCTTAACAATGAATCGAGTGTGAAATATTTTCAGTATTAACAAACAATGTAGCGTTCTTTTTTAATATTTTTTTTGTATGGAATCGTGTTGATTTCATGTTCATATTGTATATTATATTTGAAATTATTATATGAATCAGACAATATGGGTAAAAGCTATTGAGTAAGTTGTAATTTGCATACGCACACTTCAGTGTTTTGTTCTTGTATAACAATCTAGCTAACCATTTCCATATAAGGGTATCTGATAAGCCCAATTCTTGATTTTCTTTTCGTGCAATTAGTTTTTGATAGATTTACTTATTTTTATTATATAGAATTTAAGTTTATATCAGTCTAATAGCTTGCGCAGACGAAAGACTTTGGTCCGCGGAGGACAAATGTCCGTGAATCGTGAAAAAAATGTCCGCCGAGTACTTTTCACCGACTCAACGCACACCGTATGCGAACATTTGTGGCCAGAAAATTCAAGGAAGCGCACCTGAATGAAGTAAATATTCTCAGATTAAGATGTGTTGCAATTACTTAACATGAAGTTTAAGAAAAAGAGAAGACGTTTTAAAGGGGAATTCTGGGACTATCTCTTTTAATCGGATCTAGCGCGCAAGGCGGGCTAAAGTTCGCTGTTTGCGTTGCTGCGCCCAGGCATATGAGTTCTATTTTTTTTCGGGGACTCCGGCGTCCTTTTGTCCTGTCCGGTAGGTATCTCGGTGGCCTCGGTTGGTCGAGAGACTTTTAATTCCTCGTGTGAGTTATGCGATGCAGTTGTGCGGTCTATTTAGGCGGACAAAAGTCCATCGTCTGTACAAACTTTTTTAAGTACTTTAATATAAAAGTTTATATTTCTTGGCAAAGACACGGCTTCTAATAACTCAGATACCCTTTGCCGTATTTTACTTTTTAAGGGATTGCAGAATTATAATGATTTTCGTAACACTAACTTTTTTGTTGAAGTAAATAAATGTAAACCAGTCTCTTCGAGACCTGTTGTCACATCAATGTTGCGTATTAATTTCATCATTTCTCTAATTTCTTTAAGTAAAGATTTGTTCCTAGTTACGAAAATTAATATTAAGCCTGTTTGAAAGCAAAGAAATAATTATTTCATAGTGTAAGAATTAAATAATGCAGCTATAAATTTATGAATATCTTGTAAAATAGACGGGCTATGGTTCGTCCCATTACATATTAGAGAATTGTGACTCTTGAGGTCATAGACAATCCAGTGCAATGGTTTAATCAGTATTATTAACATTCCGGAACCATAAATATTTGTTAAAAAATAATAATAAAAGAAGTTATCGGAAATCATATTCTTGTTTTTATTTTGTAACGTGGTGTTCTGACAACCTACAAGTTTGAATATTGGAGCGAAGGCGCAGAGTAGGTTTCAGGATCTTACAGTATTAAGTGCCGCCCCTTTAATATTATTGGCTGGTTTTGCAGCAGCTGCAACTTTTTTTCGCAATTTTTAATATCTGAATCATGTTTTCAAATTAATACAAACAAGGAATTTCAAAAGTCGCTTCAGTTTCGCATGAGAAGCGTCGAAAAGAGATGGCGCGGTAAGCACTTTGTGACCCCGAACCAATGGCAACAACATCATCATCACATCATCATCATCAACCCATGTTCGTCCACTGCTGGACATAGGTCTCCCCTAATGCACGCCACTGCTTTCGATTTTGTGCTACACTCATCCGGCCCACTCCAGCCAGCCTACGAATATTATCATCCCATCTTGTCTCAGGGCGTCCTACACTACGTTTACCGAGTCGTGGTCTCCACTCAAGAACTTATCGGCTCCAACGGCCATCAGTTCTGCGGCTAATGTGACCAGCCCACTGCCACTTCAGTTTGCTAATTCGAAATCAAATCAAACCAATCGCAATGCAGATTTCGAGCTGCGGTGTTGCTAGCTCTGAGTCACGAACTTCTATATGACACTTGTTTAGGTTATAAACTGACACCCCTCTATGAATTGAAGCGTCGTTTGACAGTTCTTTGTGTTTGTCCAAACAGATTTATATTTAGGAAACGCTCAGATATTTGATTATTTGTTAAATATTGTTTGTTAAAATATTTGCTCATTTTTTCGTTTCAAGTATGTAAGAATTTTGAAAAACGGAACGTTTCGGAGGAAATATCGAAGCACTAGTAAGGCAACCCCGACCAAGCTTTCAGTCTTTCAGGATATAATGATGACAGCTAATGTCATTCTTTGTTGGAAATCTTAAATTGAAAAAAAAAGAAAGATATTCAGTTCTCATAGCATATTTTGCATAACTTATTCATATATTTTTCTAAGTAAAGATATTTATTATAGCTTCATATTTTGTTTGAGAACAACATTTAGGAAACATATTTTTTTTGCTTGTACAACACTGTCATATTGAAAATAAAGGTTAAGACAAAAAACGATTTAAAACAATATGGATAGATCGAAATAAAATTAAAAAAGGTACTCGGGCGCCAGACCTACCTCAACAGACTCGCCGGAAGTGCATTGTACCATTAATCGCAAGGGGGTTTGAAGCAAAATCCAAACTCACTTTCGGTTGTCTATCCTACAAACTATTTACCTATTTGCCAATGATTTTATTGAATTTTGAAGCGTGGTCCAATTATCTGAATTTTACATAATGGAATAATTTACTCTTACGAGATTTAGTATGTATGTCCAATTATAATGGCTTTATATAATATACTAGCTGACCCAGCGAACTTCGTACCGCCCTAAAAAAATAGGGGTTGTCCAGCGGACAAAATTGTGAATCTAAACCATTCTCAGATCCCCTTGAACACACACAAAAAAATTCATCAAAATCGGTCCAGTCGTTTAAGAGAAGTTCAGTGACATACACACGCACAGAAGAATTATATATATAAAGAATAGGTATACTTATACGATATACGTTTACTGTCGCCGCTGCATCTTTGTTGTGTGGAGTTGAATGTATGTACGGAGGCCTCGCTCCCATGTAATGACAAAATGTTATTTCATGGTCCAATGTAAAATTTTCTAAAGTATAAAAATACACATACGGCTGCAAATTAACAGTCCGCAGATAAGCACATGGCACAAAACAAAAGAAAATGTATAAAACAAAAGAAATTTCGAAGGTGCTCACCGTTTTATAAAAAAAAAAAACAAACAGGCCGACAGCCACGGCAAACTTATATCTCCTGCTGAAACCAATTCTACATTTAAATTCACCGAAATATTAAAGAAAAATACTTTTTCAATTTAGAAAAAAACTTACCATTAAAATTATTGATCATAAATAAGATCATTTTTCAAAATTCAAACTCATTTATTCAGTCTAGGCTGTTACAAGCTCTTGTGAAAGTCAAACGCTACGCCATCGGTTCGTAAATCTACGGCGGGAGACCTTGTACTGAGAAGAACCGGCAAGAAACTCAGCAAGGGCTATTTTTTTCTCCCTATATTACTTATGATCTTATTCTTTGTAATATCAGGCTACGGCAAATAGACTACCCCCAACACTTTGAGATGTGTAGTGACGCACATTGTTATAATTTGGCACACTTACAGACACTTGACGAGATGTAAACGAACATTGTAAATATTCTATTTGACGCCGCACGGCAGACGTACACTGTTAGACGTCGTGCTGATAAAAATCGACAGATTACGGGCTGGAGTAAACATGCATGTGAAGCTCACAGACAGGCCAGGCTTAAATATCAGATGTGGTTATCTTATAATAAACCTGTTTCCGGACTAGTTTATAATGAAATGTGTATGAGTCGTAAAATATTTAAAGGTAAACTGAAATGGTGCCAGAACCATCATGATAAAATCAAAGACATCTTAGCCGCTCACCATATAAACAATAATTTTAAAAAAATCTGGAAGGCCACCAACCTGGGGGTGCTGATGAGCCGGCATCGATTGTTAATATGTTTATAAAGCATTTTAGAGTTGAGTCACCTTTAGGAGCTTCAAAGGGAGTGGTCGATGATAAGGCCTGTCGTGATACCGGTCTTATACATTTCACGTCCAAGCAAGTGTCTAATATAATCAGAGCAATGACAATAGCAAAGTCCCCGGCTCACGACGGTTTTAACGTCGAGCACCTGCAGCATGCCGGACATCATTTGGCGAGGGTGTTTGCTATGTGCATGTGTCACTCATACCTTCCTAGTGACCCTAATCCGTACAATAGTTATACCCATTGTTAAAAACAAAACTGGGGACGTGACTGACAAATGTAATTATAGGCCCATCTCTCTAGCTACCGTTACGGCTAAAACCTCGTTGACACGGGTCGAGTTTACAAGCTACAAGCCAGCGAGTTCGCTAGTAGCTTGTAAACTCGCCCCGTATCATCGAGTAGCAGATGTAGTACAGTCAATCTGTCGAAAAAAATATCGTTTCAGTGAAAAAAAAACCTAAAGGGTAAGTCTTGTTTCTTCTGTTGCCAAATGACGTCAGTAAGCCACCTCGGCGATGGGCATGTTCAACTCGTAGGCGTTTTTTGAAAAACTCAAAAAAACCGTCAAAAATTTTTTGAAACGCATTTTTCTGGTTTTGTATGCATTTTAGAAACTTTTTTTTACCATAATTGTAGACGGCGTTGAGTACTACAATTTATGTCATTGTTGCAATCTCGTACAACAAAAAATACGCATTGTAGGTGGCGCTAAAGTCTCAAAAAAGTGTTTTTTCACTTTTTCACCCTGAAAATATCATTTTAATGGAAAACTTTAAATGGCAAAGTTGTTTCGTACATAATTACCAACAACTTTTGTATAAACATTTTTTTTGTATTACTTACCGTTTTCAAGTTATAAATTGCGCAGGTATGAAAAATCCAATAGAGCGGTTTTGGGCAGTTCAAGTACACATTTGCAGTGCACATTTCAATGTACGTTTTACTATTTTATATTTTTTTTCATGACTGAAAAACAAAAAAAAAAATGAAAAAAAATAAAAAATAAATAGTTTTATTTTTATTTTTTTTTCATGATAGAAAAAAAAATACGTACCTACATTGAAATGTGCACTGCAAATGTGTACTTGAACTGCCCAAAACCGCTCTATTGGATTTTTGACGTTTTTTTGAGTTTTTCAAAAAACGCCTACGAGTTGAACATGCCCATCGCCGAGGTGGCTTACTGACGTCATTTGGCAACAGAAAAAACAAGACTTACCTTTAGGTTTTTTTTTCACCACTCAACCTACAGATTGACTGTACTAATGGTAAAAAGCCGATGACACGGGGCGAGTTATAAGCTGCTTGCAAACTCGCTGGCTTGTAGCTTGTAACCCGCCTCGTGTCATCGAGGCTTAAAGTATTTGACAGTCTGATAAGTGCTCGTCTAGATGATTATTTACATCTACTCGATGCGCAGTTTGGGTTTCGGCCAGGGCTTTCCACGGAGAGTGCGGTATTAGTTTTAAAGCATACGATGCAATATTACACTGAAAGACGAACCCCGGTATACGCTTGTTTTCTTGACCTGTCTCGTGCTTTTGATCGGTATCTTATGATGTGCCGTGGACTAAGTCACTGGAAAAAGATATACCTGCAGAGTGATTGTTTATCTTGCAGTATTTGGTATCTGAATCAGGAGAACAATGTAAGAAGAAGAACAAAGGAAATGAGCTTTCAGACACTTTCAGGTTAGAGTGCGAGGTGAGGCAGGGTGGCCTGTCCTCTCCCCGACTTTTTAATCTTTATATAAACGACCTTATTTTTCGACTCAAAAGCATGAGGGAAGGTTGTCGCGTTGATGACGTAAGCGTCAATAACATAGTTACGCTGACGACATGGTGCTGCTGAGTCCATCAGTAAGAGCTTTGAGGGAGCTTTTACGGATGTGTGAATCTTACGCGCAGACACACGGCCTCATATTCAAAGTTTAGAAGAGTGAGTACCTCGTGTTTAGGGCTACCGGAGGCAGGTGTCCATTGTTTGTACCTAGTATTACAATCATAGGTGCAGAACTGAAACGTGTCTACCGGTTTAAGTATCTTGGATATTTTGTAGCTGATGACCTTAAGGACGAATCTGACATTGAGAGGGAGTGCAGGGCACTGACGGTGCGCTGTAATATGCTGGCTCGTAGGTTTGCATGCTGTCTGTAATGCTCCAGTAAAATTTAACACTTTTTCGAGCTTACTGTCAAGTGTACTACACGAGCAGTCTTTGGACCAACCATACGCAGCGCGCCCTCGGTGCGCTGTAGCGGCATAGTTTTGCAATTCAGTGAAATAGTTTTTTTATGTTGGAATACCACTGGTTCAAGGTTAGTAATTTATTTTGCGTACTGCTATTGCGAAGTCAAAAAGAAGAAAACAATAAGTGTTGTTGTTTCATTTCCTTTATTTTTAAGTGAAATTTCAGTTTGTTCCATGTTTTATGTTACCTATGTGTTATATGTTTTAAACTAAGTGGTTATAAATACAGTAGAACCCGTTTAAAACGACCACGATTAATACGATTTCTCGCATAATTGAAAATGTGAATAACAAACAGGAAGAGGCCCTAAGTGATAATGATTGAAGACGCTATGTAACTTCTTTGAATCAAAGCGAAGACGCACTGCAATAGTTAAATTATGTTAAAAATCTTGTAATTGCTAATGCCTTAAAATCATTTGACAAACTAAAATAAGCTATTAATTTAAATAACGTAATAATAAATAATACACTAATTTTGTATGACATACATTCTTAAATATTGTACATTTAATACCTCAATACCTACATTCGAAATTTCCCTAACCCGCATAATACGTTTTCCCGCTTAAGACGCGGTTTTGGTTGAGTTCCTGTGAAATCGTCTTAAACGAGTTTTACTGTAGTATGTTTCTTGTTCATGTTTATTGTTTTCAAGATAGGAAAGTTACCTTAAAGTTATATTGTTTTCATGATAAAACTATAACTAAACAGACATAGGTAATTATCGTAACTACATTTGGTTACAAACAGTGTTGTACACATTTATACTTTCAAAGAATGATTTAATTTTTCAACTTGAAATTTATTTAGTACATTTGGCTTATAAACTTGATACGCACCGCATATAGCAAGAAGTTGCAAAAGGACAATGGGCAAAACACACCCAGCTCCGCCAATAATGCAATTAATATGAATCGATAGATCTATGAAAAACTAGCCATTTTTATTATGACACCGTAAAAAAATATCCCGGTAGTCAAGAGATACGACACCGTAAAAAATATCCTGGTAGTGAAAAGATATGACACATGGGCATATTTAAGTAGCTAAATAAATAAATTTTATAGTTCCTTCATTTTATATTATTAGTAACCATAATAATATTCTATATCGTAGTATACAACCAGATATATGACAAAGCTTGACCATCCTGCGCTTGCACTTACTGAGCCGCCACAATACAGATTACGGGGTTTGAAGGACTTGCAGTTGCAAATAGTCGACTCGTCTAACTTCGTTGTGATTGTGCGCTGCCTGTCATTTGATTGATTTTTATCTAACACGCTTTGGACATTGGAACACGATTATCGGTTTTGCCAATTAGTATGGATGAACTGGCATCATGTTTTCTCCGAAGCGTGGACGAGTTTGTGTGATTTGTGGTCGCTCCGTTTTACATAGAAGACAATTTACTATAACGAAAAGACTGTTTGAAAAAACCCCCAACCCATGCGGGGATTTTTGGATTTACTTAGCGCGGCAGAATAACATAAGGGCATAGCACCCTTGCACCTTGTGCAGTACTTCCATATTACCTGAGCCCTATATGTAGGGTCGAACTAACTAAATTAATTCCCTTGTTTCATTAATGTTCGTTCGTTATAGTACTTGTACCTATTTAACTAAAAATAACTAAAGACCCCCGGGATGGAATTTGATGCGCTTTGGCACAGATGATCATGACTATAATACCTTTCAAACAAATGTAGTTTAAGCCGTGGCGGACGTGGGTGCAGCGTCCATACAATTTTGCCCAATGCCCTTTACGAGCTTGCATTTCGATCTGTCATAAGTCTTTGACGCAGGCGTTTTAATAAAGACCTTATACGATATGCATACAAAGGTGACTTTCAATGTTTAAATGATGCCTTAAATTGTTTTTGACCATCTTACGGAGCTCTGTGGATCGCCCAATGTACCTTTAGATTTGATCACTTCATGAAATGCTTGAGAATTTCATAAAATGGTCGCATTTCATGAAATGTTTCACTATCTATTGGCGACATCATGATGTGGTTTGGGCAGATCAATGATGAGAAATCGTTTCAAGATATGGCCAACTAAACGCGTGGCTACTTCATGAAATGGCAAAATTATTTGATCATATTGTAAAGTAGTTACATTAATTACCGGTAGAGGCGCTGCAAGCGCTTTGTTTATATATTTATATGACGGCCGCTGCCGACAATGGTGTTTCTCGCAGTGAAAAAGTGCATAATTCGTTATTTAATGAGGAAGAAAGTTAACAAAAGGGTTTTCGACGAAACAAATTAAGGATAGTAGGGTGACTACGCAAAAGAAATCTATGGACTATTACTAACTATTATTAGTATTACTGGCTGTCAAAATACATAAAATACATTTTGGAAACTGCGGTTGAGGTACAAAGTGCGGATGAGAATCAATGTCGTACAAAGATATACTGTAAAACTGTACTTCCATGGCCCAAGAGGTATACTTGAATTTCTTTTGTAGAAAAGGTCTCTTTTAATAGAGTTTTTTTTCTAGCGCTTCGCCGGCCGCTACCGCGGCACGCTCGCTTTGCTCGCTCGGCTCGCGCGTCATGGTCACGACAATAACCTAACCTAGTGTGAAGTATTACCGTTTGGGCCCCGGAAGAACAGTTAAGTCTACTATTGTAATATGTACCAAATACCTTATTATTTCTAAATATTTGATATTTTTCTAAATATAAATGTGTAAGTTCTTGACATGTTTGATGTTCAATTTTGGAAAAAAAATCTTTAATTTGTTATTTTGTTACAAAAAGATTAAATTTGTTTGTGTCATTCGGACTTAAATAACAATAGACAAGTTCTTACATATTCTGGATTTTTAATAAATATTTTATGGACACCCTAATTATACGATCCGGCCAAATGTGGATGACCAAATCGTTAAATGTTGATGATTTAATGATCTGGTCAAATTAAGTTGGCCACATCATGAAATGTGACCATTTCATGAAATTCTCGAGCATTTCATAAAGTGATCAAATCTATGATATGGCCACGACATACACCAACTATTGAACCCATTGAAGCGACCCCTATCGTGAGCTAGTTTTGTTTTTATTCGTTGTAGGTTTAGATTTTAGTTCCAAACCATAAACCATTCAACATACATTTTTTTTTATTTCCACCCCTTTAGTTTATTTATACTTTGCCCGGCGGCTCTTTCGGGCAATATTCAGGGAGCTACCCGTGGCAATTTCGTCCATTATGTATTATAAATTATTTGCGTCATAAAAAAAATTAACAATACAAATAATTTGACTGGAAATAGTAATGGTAATGATGCAGCACAGTTTTCCTCCACCTCTGGATCTGGTATCCATGGCCCGCATTGTCGATATCCCTCTTCCTGTAAAATAAACATTAAATTTTACAAAATAATGCTCATACAGATAATAAAACGCACGTAGGCAAAGTCCACTTAATTCCATTGTAAATATCCATTGAGGGATCTTGTTGCAATCTTACGAACGCACGTGTGTCTGAAAATCCATAACTCTTTTTTCATAATAATGCTTTTAATACATGGAAAACTACAATGTTACAGTGCTCGTAAATGTCCTTACCATTGGTGTGTGTGAGAATTATTTAATTATTTATCATTATTATCTTCATATCATCTTTCTGTATAATTTGGTTGGGTTTTATGGCCAGGTAAGAATGCATTATCCAACATCAACAAGAGACACAACAGCCAGTGAGATACTTAAACCTCGTAGTTGGTACTGCACGTGGGGCATGCGGCCCGGTAATGCTGGCTATAGAATATAGAGGTGATATAGAACAAACATTCGTTAGTATTAACCTGCGTGTAGTTGTGTTGGTAGCACTGCACGTGGGGCATGCGGCCCGTAACACTGGCTTGAGGTAATATAAAACAAACATTCGTTAATTTAAATCTGTGTGTAGTTGTGTTGGTAGCACTGCACGTGGGGACACGGCTCGGTAATGCTGGCTTGAGGTAATTTAAAACAAACATTCATTAATTTAAACCTGTGTGTAGTTGTGTTTGTAGCACTGCATGTGAAGCATGCGGCCCGGTAACACTGGCTTGAGGTGATATAGGACAAACATTCGTTAGTATTAACCTGCGTCTAGTTGTGTTGGTAGCACTGTACGTGGGGCATGCGGCCCGGTAACGCTGGCTTGAGGTGATATAAAACAAACATTCATTAATTTAAACCTGTGTGTAGTTGTGTTGGTAGCACTGCACATGGGGCATGCGACCCGGTAACGCTGGCTTGAGGTGATATAGAACAAACATTCATTAATTTAAACCTGTGTGTAGTTGTGTTGGTAGCACTGCACGTGGGACATGCGGCCCGGTAACGCTGGCTTGAGGTAATATAAAACAAACATTCATTAATTTAAACCTGTGTGTAGTTGGGTTGGTAGCACTCCACGTGGGGCATGCGGCCCGGTATCGCTGGCTCGAGGTGATATAAAACAAACATTCATTAATTTAAACCTGTGTGTAGTTGGGTTGGTAGCACTCCACGTGGGGCATGCGGCCCGGTAACGCTGGCTCGAGGTGATATAAAACATACATTCATTAATTTAAACCTGTGTGTAGTTGTGTTGGTAGCACTGAACGTGGGGCATTCGGCCCGGTAAAGGGTCGGCGTTGCGCCAACAAGCGAGCTCGCTGGCTGGCGACATATCGCCCCAGTTCATCTTCTTTTTGGCCAAAAGTTTCGTGACGTTTACCTAAAAAAATATTTGTATTATTCATTGGTGCTCGATGGCGCAGGTGGTAAGCGTATTCGACCTACGATCGTAGAAGTTAAGCAACTTTCGCAGTGTTCGGTTATTGGATGGGTGACTAAAACTTATCTTGTGGTCTTCCCTGCTTCGGAAGGCACGTTTAGCCGTTGGTCACGGCTGCAGCTGCAGTCGTTAGCACCCAACAATCCGCATAGGGGCCGCACAGGGTACGCATTTTTGTATGGAGTCTGCTAGTCCTTAAAGTCCGTCACAGACGTAGGTAGCTATAATTTAAATTAATATATCGAGATATATATTATATTATAGAAAACTACCACAGGCAGGCGCTATACTATAATATATATTTTGGCAGGCGTTCGGTTGAAAAACATTTAACATTCCGTATCATAAAAATATATCAAAATATATACTAATATGCCAAAATATACCGAGATATATTTGTCGACATATTTTGATGACGCCATAGAAATATATATTATAGCTGCGTGTGCAGTCACTCGAAAATTTATATTGAAAATATGTTGTACTATGTCTTTAGCTATGATTCATATTAATATATATTATAGCGACGTCTGCTAGTCCTTATATTATTGGTAGATGAGGCACACACTACACACAAAAACACACACACAGGCGGGCGGGGCAGGTACCGGGGGGGTACACTACACACAGCGGGTGTATTCCGAAATATACACCAGTACGCTGGCCAGCGGTAATGACGTCATCATTTCGGCATCATATTGAAAACACTACTACTACACCAATGCAATGTGGCGGCGAAATTATGACGTTATTACCGCTGGCCAGCGTGTCTGGAAATATACACCAGGGGGCCTTTCGCCTAACGGGATTGCTTTAGAAAACGCTATCGCTTACGATTTCATTTTGTTATTTCTAGCCACCTGAGGTTTTCAAATACCTCGCGCTCTTTTTTTTTCTTTTGCATTGGTAATAACAATATTAAAGAAAATGAGCGTGAGGTATTTGAAAACCTTTGGCGGTCAGAAATAACAAAATGAAATCGTAAGCGGTAGCATTTTCCGAAGCAATCCCGTTAGGTGAATGCCCCCCTGGTGTATATTTACAGACACACACAGGCAGGCGGGGCAGGTACCGGGGGGTTGTGGAGCGGGGCGGGCACGGGCTTGTGTCGGCGCGGACAGCGCGTGTACACGGCCAGCAGCACCAGGTTGGTGTGCGGCACGGGCGCGCCCACCAGCGGCCAGCTGCACAACATCGGCGCGCGCGACAGACGCTCTATCGCTTCCGCTGTACGCTGTACACAAGAAAACGCACTCGTTTAACCCTTTCCTTTGTGTGGATAGCGGAAATGACGTTTCTAGCGCAGAAGAGGTTAAGTTTATAATGTTTGAAAAATATCTCCGAACTGCCGCCACGAGCGGAGTTGTGTTTCACTTGATTTTCTCTATAAGTTAGATGGCCTGCTTATCCGGGGGTTAAGTCGCCTTGACACGTGCGGATTTGACGCGGGTCTAAGATACTTGGGCCTAGTTTGCTTGATCAGGTGCTTGAAAGGTTAACCACAAACATCTATGTTTATTAAGCATTAGAAAGTGAAACGATTTTTACGGGTTATATGCACTGAATTTATTTATATCTGACGTTTCGTAGCCTTTTCAGGACTGCGTCTTCAGAAATAATTATTATTATTTCTGTCGAAATTCAGTGCATATAATGCGTAAAAATCGTTTTATTTACTGAGTAATGCTAATGAAAACCTAAGAAACAAATTAGAAAGTGAATTTACTTCGCGTGCCATAAACACGTCAAAAGTGTGACCAATGATCCTGATCCTTATTTAACCCTATTTTATTTATTCGCGTCACCGTCCTCGGCAAATACGTCAATAGCCATTTTTAGTAACCTGTCTGATTTTGTCAAATTAATTCGTAAACACGATAGAATTAATGTTTAAACGAACTTACCTGTACGTGAAGTTCTATCATAATTATACGAAGTGCTTCGTCCGAAGAGATTAGTAATATTCAATTTATATATAACACAATGTAGTAACGCGTAAGTGACACCACTTCAGCACTATAGTTGAGAAAACAAAGTAACAAAAAAAAAGAATATATAATTTTCAAATAGCAAAACCAGCCTTGGCGCCATAGTTTATCTAAAAAAAAAGAAACTCGATGACGCAACCTAATCTGTCACGGCTTCCCGCCCTCCACTCATTTCGCTTAGCTTCATTTCGTTCAGAGAATTTGTTTGATATTTCTGACAATCCGGGAAAAACATTCGGGCGGGTGGGTTTTACTAATCTCTTCGGACGAAGCACTTCGTATAATTATGATAGAACTTCACGTACAGGTAAGTTCGTTTAATCATTAATTATACTCGTGCTTCGTCCTCAAGATTAGTAACATTCAATTTATATATAACACAATGTAGATGTTGAGAGAATTGGGAAGGAATATCAAAGAAATAAAACATCTAAGTGATACACTAATTATTATATTGATCATTAATTTATAATTACAATCTAATCGCAGTTTATAAAGAACAGATAGTACTTGCTAACACAGTATTATGGTTAGTTTCATCAAGAGGGCGATTATAAAATTTGGCAAAAGTTGAAGAGTTACCGCTCCAACCAGCAGTTTTTCTAATAACATCTAAATTAACACCCAGCTTGTGAGCTGCGGAAAAAGCGGCATGTCGTGTACTATGAGAGGAAAAAATGGACACGTCAATTCCGCTATCTTTGAGTGTATTCTTAATCCAACGACTGAGTGTTTGTGTGGACACATAGTTATGTGGTTTCCTAATGCTTATAAATAATTGGCTAACCTTCCTTAAATCTTTAGTTTGGTTTATATACACCATAAGGGTTTTTGCTGGACATATTTCCGGCCGTTGATTATAAAAAGGTAAATAAAGTGTAGGTTGATTTTTTTCTTTCTTTTTTCTTACTTTTGATGTTTTAATAAAATCTGAAATCTTAATTATTATTTTATCATTTTGTTGTACAATTTGATCGCATTTTATTTTCGACAGAGTTTGTACTCTATGCGCAGTAACGAGTGCAAGTAAAGTAACACATTTTTTGGACAATTGCTCAAGGTTTAAGGTTTCATTTGGGTAAAGAGATGCTAAATGATTCAAAACTATACTTGAATCCCACGTAATATCATAACGTGGCAAAGGGGGTCTTAATTTGTATACCCCTTTACAAAACCTTAAGATTCGATCATCCTCTGATATGTTTCCTACTATAAAAGATAGTGCGGATCTGTGACTATTAATAGTCCCATATTGACCTCCATCGTTAAATATTTTTGTAAGAAAATCAATAACTATAGGAATGGAAGGATTATATATGCGTACGTAATTTTCTATACAAAATGAATACCATCTCTTGAAACAAACATCGTATTGCTGTAAGGTATTGTCTGATAATGATGCGATGGTGATATCTAAGGCGGACTCGGGGACGCAGCGTTGTAGTAGTGCCGTCCGGACAAAATTCCGGCAACCAGGGTAAGGTGCGCTTGTATGTTCTGGTTGCTGGAAGAGGGAATTACAACATCATAATGGTGAAGTTTAATTTCTTCTGAAATAAGTAGTTTGTAAAATAAAGGATACCACGGTTGAGAGGGCCAATTAGAAACGACCATAATGCCATCAGCTTTATCATTAATAATTTTGTTCAGAGATTTAAGTATCATTGCTACTGGGGGAAAAGCATAAAAGAAATTGTTTGACCAGTTTAAAGTGAAGGAATCTACAGCGATCGCTTCCGGGTCTGGATGTAAAGAAACATAGTTATCACATTTTTTATTTATGCGGCTAGCAAATAAATCCATTTCCGGATTTCCTAATTTTCTTATTAATTTTTGATAACCAAATACTGTAAGCTCCCATTCTATGTCAGGATGGGTACGTCTAGACTCTTTATCAGCAACAACATTATCCGACGATTTAATAAAGGAAGCAACAACAAATATTTTTTTAGCTTCACACCAGTCCCATATAGCTTTTGTAACTTTATTTAAATGAGGAAACTGGATGCCTCCCATGCGATTAATATAGCTGACAGCGGTTGTATTATCAACTCTAATTAAAATTTGACAATTGTGATAATCTTTTGCAAATATCTTAAGAGCAAAGTAAGCCGCAAAAAGTTCAAGTTGATTAATATGTAATTCTTGTTCACTATTGCTCCAACGACCACTAGCGGTCTGACCATTACACGCTGCACCCCAGCCCGTTGTTGAGGCATCAGAGAATATTTCTAAAGTGTAACTGTCATTCCTTATTCTATGTACGGAATGATCAATTACATTCAACCACCAATCTAAATCAGGTAGTAATGATTGTGGTAAGGTCATGTATTTTTCATAATCATTATTATTCAATAAGTTAAGAAACTTACATCGTTCAAGTTCTTTGGTATGTAGCCAACCATATTCGATCGCAGGGCAGGCAGAGATTAATAAGTTGCGCAAATGTTCGTATTTTAACACGTTTAAGATTTTTTATCTGTTCGATTTCTATCCTAATTCGGATTCTTTTTTCTAGAGGTAATGTAATTTGCCATTTATGAGTATCTATTATGAATCCTAAGTAACGACAAGACATTGAGGGTATTTTTACACTTTTTTCTTGGTTGATGATAAATCCTAACGCTTTTAATACTGAACAAGTGATTTCAATATTTTCTATACAATCGGAATAGGTTATTCCTGATAAACATAAATCGTCTAAATAAATAGATGAAATATATCCACAAGAACGCAATAATTTGACCACTGGTTTCATAATTTTAGTGAAAATAAACGGTGCCGTACAGATTCCAAACGATAGAACATTAAACTCTTACAATTTTTTATTCACAAAAAATCGAAGGTATTTTCGAGATTTTGGATGAATTTTTATCAAGAAATATGCATCTTTCAAATCAATAGTGGCAATAAAAGAGTCTTGAGATATAATTTTTAGAACAGTACGAATATCTTCTAACTTAAAATGTTGTGCTTTCATAAATTTGTTTAAATTATTTAAGTTAAGTATTAATCTTTTTTTGCCATTAGGTTTAGGTATCAAAAATATATGAGATATTATATTGATCAGAACATGGTTGACATTCAGATATTGCTCCAATATCAATTAAATTATTGATTGTAACATTCACGTGAATTTTTTCCGAGTCTGTAAATTTGGTTTGAGTTGGTAAATAAGGCTGATGAACAGGCTGTTCAAACTTTAATTTGAAATGATGATAAAATGTTACGATCACAAGTAATTATCGACCACAAATTGTAAAAATGGGCTAGTCTGCCAGCGTAACGTACCGAGTCTACTGACGTTGGTTTGGCCCTGGCCGCTGTGAGTAATTTTTCGACGACGTCCCTCGGCGAGGCAGCGGCATCTGTGATGCATTGCGTGCTGTCGGCAGCTGGAAGCGTGGCGTTGGGCCCGTCGGCTGCCTGCGGACTGGAGCCCTCGCTTTCCAGTTTAAATTCCTATTTGACACATTTGCCGTCGAAGCTGCTCTTGGTTTCTTTGAAAGATCTAACTTGAGATCTGAACTAGACTTTGTAACTGCCTTTGCAGTTTTTAGTGTTTCAACCAAATTATTACCAAATAAATATTTGTCAATTTTTGTAAATGACAATTGATCTTTCATATCCTTTTTTACGGAATATAAACAAAAATTCCTTCTTGCCTCAGATTCAGTATGTTGAATGTCACAAAATATTCTGCCAACATTCATCAGTTCTTTAATCATTTCAGTATTTTTTTCAGTCAGATCAAGCTGATCTGATATTATTTTGGCTAAGCATGAAATGCCAACTGCAATCTGTTTTTGTCTCAATTCTATCGCTTTGTCTCTTTTGACTACTTGCTCGGTAACCGCGGCTTTTATTTCCGCATTAAGCTGTGGGGCGGCTATGCTTGTACAATTACCAGGAACCAAGTATTTTTTAAGAAGTTCCTTGCGAATGTCTTTATTTAAACCATTAGTTGCAATGTATGTAAATCTTGTTGCCACATCTTTATTTATGTCAGATCCAAATTCGACAATAGATGGATCGTCTCCCAAAATATTTGAAATTTCTACATCATTAGTAGTTGCATTCGTACCACTGGGGCCGGCCTCGATCTCTTGATGGAGATCCGATATGTCTATCATGGGTGTTTCATTTGTTTCAGTTTCTAAGTCTATTGTTTCGACATGTTCATCCGAGTTCTGGTTTGCTTCTAGGCCTAAAACCAATTATTAATGATCAATAAAACGTCGTTACA